GGGGGGGGAGGGAGCTCCTTTGAAGTACCTGGAAAAAGAATTACATGTTACATCCCCAGAGAAAGAATGACAAGATATATCACCAGCCATATACACAGGTTAACTTTGCAATGGAAACATATCTTGCATTCCTAGAGCACTCTCAGGGTAAAGAACTGTCCTCCACTATAAGTATACTGATGTAAGAGGAAAGATAGTAGGATCTCTAATATATAGCCAGTTCTCTTCTTTCTTGCACCACTTTCATACTTGTGCCACTCCAGTAACTAGACTTTATTCAGCAGAATTGCTGCAGATTAATGTCTGGGCAGATAAGTGTAGAATTGGACATGTGGCTGAAGAAAGCTACTTCAAACTTATCCTCAGGTACATGAATGTTCATGTATGAAATTAGGTGGGGGTCTCAGTAATTTCAGAATTACTTGGTTGGCTTACTGACTCCATTTAGGGGCTTCCTTCTTGTTTCACAATTTTACCTAACAAACCTTCAAGATTTCTCATGATTTCTTCTAACATAAGCAGAGCAGAGAATCTGAGTTTGCATCAGGATAAAAATATGAAATATCTGCCTAAAAGTTGATCTCTCAACCTCAAAAAAATTTCTCTTCTTTTCCCTTTTCTCTCCCCTCTCATCCTCAGCTCCTGTGCAGAATTAAGGCTTTAAATTATGCTGAGAGATTATAACCAACGTGGCTAAAAACAGGAAATAATCAGATCATTCAAACTCAAAACTCAAACCAATTGTAAATGTTAGAAGGCAGATGTTATCTAACCAGAGGACAGCTGTGGGCCAAAGGAAGGAAGACTAGGATGGAATCATCAAAAAAAATTTCATATCATAATGGTACAAATAAATACCATCCAGCCACCCACACCTCTAATTTTTGTGGAAGAAAAGTATTTTCCTTCCCAATACTCTCCCCAGAAAGAGCAGTGCTCATACCTCTTTTACTGCTGAACTGCTTCTTTTATGTTCTTGGACAGTACTCAAAATTTGTACAGACAAACCCAGGATCCTTAATATTGCATTAAGGGATTACGTGCAGTGGGTTTTGCAGCCTTTTTTCATTTTCTCACTCCTATCATACCAGTATTTACTGAGTTGAAGTGTGCTGGAGGCAAGTTCAATTTCCATCTCTGCTCAGGGGAGTGATTAAATTTAGCTGATGCTGAGAAAAGAAATTCAGTGTGATGAACATAGCAAGACTTGACTGCCAAGCCTATGAGAAAGGATTAGTACCACAAGCAAAGAAGAGCTACCAAAACACCTGCAGAAACCCTTACGTATAGAAAAAAGAAAAAGTAGGAAGGAAATGGAAATTTATTCTTTTTCTAAAAAAGCAAACCCAAACCACTATAAACCCAGGACTTAAGTGCATTAAACTCAATTGTATATTTCAAAACCAAAGAGCATTCTAATAGTACAATTTCAGCTTCGTTAGAATAACCCTTAATTTTGAGAGAGTTTGGAACATAATTTGAGATTTTGATTTTGTGGCTAATATGCATCTTTTACTAAAACTTAAATGAAATCCTAAATGTGAGTTTCACTGAAGTTTGGAGTTGACTCAAATTTTGCAGCATTTACTTATTCCTGACAATAAGACATTGTATGGCTGCCTCTGTTAGGGAGAACTATTTGAACATTTGCTTCTGGCAAACTGGAGTAACCTTTCCTATAACCTGAAACTTTCCCACAAACTGAAACAGCAGTCATCTCTTCACTCAAGGAGATCAAAGAACACTTCAAAATTAACCATTGTGTGTAAAGGACAACTTCTACTCATACAGCAGGCTGAACACTTATTTTGGAGTTACACATTAGTCCAATTCTTTTTTTCTGTAACATAATTAGGTTTAACTGAAAGCACCGCCTTTTCAAGACCAGGAGAGAAATGTGTTGGCCCAGCATAATCACATTCCAGAATTTTCTACATTTTTACCATTTAGAAAGAGCATGGTGTCATCTCAAAGGCATGGTGTCATCTCTCTTCTCAGAATGAAGGATTAGAACAGGTTTTCCAAGACTGAGGCAAACATACAATAAGGGATTTTTTTTAAAACCCTGCTTTTCCTCAAGGAGGAAAACACAAGGGTGTTTTGGGGTTTTGGTTTTGTTTAACTTTTTTGGCTTTTTTGGTTTTTTAAGCAGATCCTCTAGAAGTGAGGTCTGCTAACTTGAATAATAACTAAGGAATGAAACAGGCCCAAAAGTATCTAATCCTATTTCCATTAAATGGTGATTTTGAAATCAATTCCATTTTGAATTAAGAAAAAAATGAATGATCTTCTAATTAAGCTGAATTACTCTGAACAACTATGTCAGATCCAACCATATCAACATCAACAACAAAAAAACCCCTGTTCATCACAAATTGCATAGAACAATTTTTATCTAAAAGCAGCTCAGTGTGATAAATTACCACCCACAGTATGTGTGCGGCTTAATGTCTGCTTTAAAGAATTATTGCATACACAATTAATTTACTATTAGCTCTGAGCACCTAGAAACCTTGGAGCTGATATATAGGTACTTTGGCTTTAGCAAGGTCTTTTGGATACTCTGTAATCCCAAGCGCACTATTCATACCAGGTCCTTTCAGAAGTTGTAAATGGTGAAAGCTACTACCTATCACTGCCATCCTATATGTCTTGAACACTTAATGACTGGGAACCTACCCATTTCCTACGCCAAGTGGCTCATACCAAGTTTGGGATTGTTTTGTCTAAAGATCATAGTCAAAATTGTAACAATGATGACCAGCCATTTACATACCTAACAGCCACAGTGATTCATGGCTTGTAGCAGAAAACAAAATATCTCACCATACCAAGGAAACTGGTAAGCTTCAGGCAACAGCATTTTCATTGCTTCTTCATGGGCAAGAGTGCACTGCTACAGGAAATCAGTGCAGATCTTGCCTGATATTTATGCAAGCTTTTCTATACATATGAAATAATTCTCAAAAATAGTTTTTACTAGTAAAACTATACTATTACTTGCCCCATCTGCCTAAAGCAGTATCATGGTTTGTCTTTTTATTTGTTCATTTAAGCAAATTCATATGGTATGGGAAAAACAGTTAGCAGAGATTAGAGTCCAGTCCAGTTGCCCCTTCCAGATGGTCAATGCTAATATCAGCATATGAATACAAAGATCTAAGAGGCCTCCAAATATTGTAGCACTTTGTTTTTCCCCTTTAATGTCCCCGTCCCCCTTGAGTTAAACTGCATATACTATAATGACCCTAAATAGCATTGCCACATCACTGTTTTCATAAGTCTAAGGAGCTTTGCATTAGTATAAATGTGCAGGTAATTCATTAATTGCTTACCAAAATAGCTAAGCTATCCTGATCCAAAAGAGTTCCCAGGGTTGGAAGTCAATGATTCAGTTTTATGATGATCTCTTGGATGATTGCCATGAGTAAGATTTCATGCTTACTTTGTGAGTTTTAAAAGGCAAAAAAGTTTTAAAGCTGGAAAGCAAAGTCTTGATTCTTTCCCTTACAAAAAGAAGAGT